CACGATCTTCTCAAGGTTATCGGCTATCGCAAGTGGCATATATTCGCGAACTGCTGCAACGATACAATGTTACTGAGGATGCGGCGGTGCCTATCTCTAAGTGGACGGACCCTGATCCTCCAGATTCTGTGTCGGCCTCCGAGGTTAAGGAAGCTCAAGCCATTACGGGTGCGCTTTTATGGGTTGCTACGAGAACTCGACCGGATATTTCATACGCAGTGTCACGCTGCGGGCAACAGGCGACGAAGGCGCCACAGATCTCCATCAGTGTTGGGTTGCAGACCTTGAAGTATCTTAGGTCCACGGCAGAGTTTGGAATCGAGGTTCCCTTTGAGGTAGGGAATCCCTTTGCAGACCACGGTTTGCTTTTGATGCCGCGATCTGAGAAAGTTCTAGAAGTGTACTCCGACGCTTCCCATAGCCCTGGTGGTGATCGATCGATGCAGTCTTTGATTGTTCTATGGATGGGTGTTCCGATTGCTTGGGAAACGACGCGACAAGCTTTCACTACTCTATCCTCTGCGGAGGCGGAGCTGGTGTGCAGTGTGCATGCGGTCCAACTGTCCGAATCCATCCAATCACTCTTGGACGAGCTCATAGAGGCAGACTCTACGATAGCACTATTAAGCGACAACGAGGCATCGTTGAGAAGTTTCGACCAGGTTGGGACCTCATGGAGGAACCGCCACCTTAGAATGAGGGCCACAGCCGCCCGAGAAAGAGTGGCTGCAGGAGTTTTGCGCGTGTCGCACATCCCAGGAATGCAGCAGATTGCGGACCTTGGGACCAAACCGCTTAGTCGGTCCCGAATCATGCATTTGCTAAGTTTAGCTAATATTAGGGAGGCCAGGGCTGATACCGCGGGGGTAGCATCGGCTCGGGTGTTAAGCCGAGGGATGTGTAGCACGTCAGTTGCTCCTGCGGAACTGCTCGCAGGCCTCGCCTTGTTGGCAGTGATTCCGCGTGTGAGGGGTCAGCCTGCCCATGGCCTTCCGGAAGCCCAGGGGTGGTTTGTCTGGGTGTTGGCTTGCTTAGTGACTGTAGGCTGTGTAGCCGTGGTTGGGTGGTGGTACTCAGGAGGTGGACTTCAGGGTGGTCTTTCTAGGGTAGGTCGGTGGTTCGTTGGGTCAGAGGCTCCGGACTGCGATGGGGATTCTGATGGTGTTGGGACGGTCCAATGCGACGATGCCCCGGAGCAGGGTCCAGCTGCTACACCGGAGCCTGAAGATGACGATGAGTTTTCGGAGCAGGAGTGGCGCGAGGCGCAGTTGAAGCTTGAAGAAGCCGAGCGTCGCTCTGGCTTAACGTTCCTCCAACGGGCGAAGGTTCGTAAGCAGGTTGCAGCCGGGGGTATAGTCGATCCGCCTAACTTCCTCCAGAGGTTTGGCCCAGTTCCCTCCTGGTACTTAAGTGCTTCGTCTGGGGAGGAAGCGTCGTCATCTCAGGGCCCGCAAGGACGATTTTGCGCCGCCGGGACGGGTGTAGGACTTGAGTCGTTGGTAGATCTGTTTACGAACCATGGGACGACTGTTGCAGTGTACCTGGGGGCGCAAGCGGTAGAGTGGATGCATCTCTGTTGTGCAGCTGTAGCTCTGCGCAGGCATTCAGTGATTCGTCTTTTGCTTCTAGTAATGAACACAGGGAACGTCCCTAGGGATGTCCCAAATCAGGGGCAGACGATAGAACTTAGGGCGGTGTCGGGAGCTGGTGGGCTCCAGTGGATTCCTGTTAGGATTAATCCCGGGGTTGGAGACTCTGGGAGTGCCGGTTCTCACGAGGTTCCAGGTCCTTCAGATTCAGGAGTTCAGTCTGGGAGTGCCAGTTCTCACGAGGTTCCAGGTCCTTCAGATGCAGGAGTTCAGTCTGGGAGTGCCGGTTCTCACGAGGTTCCTGGTCCTTCAGATTCAGGAGTTCAGTCTGGGAGTGCCGGTTCTCACGAGGTTCCAGGTCCTTCAGATGCAGGTGTTCCGTTCGGAAGTGCCAGGTCCCAGGAGGTCCATTTTGACTCGTCTTTCAGGGCTCAGATCGGGGGGAGTCGTTTTGATTCGGAGATTCCAACACCGAGGGTCCAGGTAGGGGGGAGTTCCTCGTCACATGGCATGCAGGCGTTGCCTTTTGAGCAGACGGAGCTATGCTACGAAGATTATTTACCTACTGAAGGGTCCCTAGAAGGATGGCCGCTTGTAGGAACCTGGATCAGGGTGCATTTTCTCCTTCAGTTGTTCTCTAGCGTTGGAGAGGTTTTGTTAGCCTTGCTAGGCATTCGGGATCGTACTTGGTTGGCCGTCCGGGCAGCTTCCAGTGCAGTGCGATTTGGACTTTATGGGGCTTTAGCTGACCATTTACGACAGGGTCCAAATGCTTGGCAGTATGAGGGACCACAATGGCTTGAATCAGTTGAGGCATTCCTTTTGAGTCAGCCGCCGAATGTGGAAGGGCCAGTCGGGGAAGCAGCTGGAGGGTCGATTCTAGGATTTCCTTATGTAGTTTGGGCTCCTGGAGTGAGGGCACATTATCTTTGGAGGATCTTCTCTGTTGCCGGTTTTGAGCTCTTATCCTTTCTGGGCATCAGGGTTGGAGAAGTTAGGGCCATTCGGTTTGCTGCACGAGGGTTTTTAGAGCACTCGCTCCATGCAACGATCCTGTGGCTAAGAGCTACGGGCCCTTTGTTTTATGCAGATGGAGGACAGACAAGGGATGCAGCGGAAGCGTATTTTCAGAATGGAATCCGTGAGTTTCCGTTTGCTGAGCAAAACCCTGTAGAGGCTGAAGACCGGGAAGATGATCCGACCATTGACGAGCGACCTTTAAATCCCGAACCGGAGGTTAGGATTCAGCGGGTTCAGTATGGGTTACTTGCTGAGGAAGTGTTTGGGGACGATAGCGATTCGTATAGTTCCGAAGGCTCCACTACTGAGCCTTCAGTGCTGACCGAGGGCTCCCAGGCTACAGTTGATGATCCGGAGGTGCCGCTAGCGACTCCAGGTGAACCTGTTATGTCGCCGGCTAGCGGGGTGCCTACCACTGTTTACGAAGCCCGGGATGGATGCCTTCTAGTGCACTATATTGATGACACCTTTGAGGTACCCCTTGTAGGATGGACCTGCGAAGAGGTAGAGGCTGTTGTTACAGGTTTGGAGACTGGTGTTTGGACTGCGCTCTCAATGAGTGCGCGCTCGCATCCTTTAGATGGAAGACCCGGCTCCTCGAATGACCCTCCCAGTGAGCGCGCGGGTTCTTGGCTCAATCCGGCATGTGTGCGCATGATTGTTTGGGTATTGATTGTTTGGTGGGTTCTGGTTCAGGGTGCTAGTGCGAGCAGGGTGCCGACGGAGTTTGAGGCTTCGGAGGTTTCCACCGGGTTAGTGTGTAGTGCCTCACAGGCCGTGTCCCAGGCTTCTCGTGGCGAGGTAGAGGATCTAGGTGACTATGGGTGTGATGGTTCTACATTAAGCTACGTGCTGGGGTGTGTTGTCCTGATTGCGATCTGGGAAATCGGAAAGATGCTCTGGAGGAGCTGCTGTAGGAGTAAGAAGCCCTCTGTTGACTGTGCGTGCCAGACAGACGAGTTTCAGGTGATCGTATTGCCGCTAGATCCGAGTGTGCGGAATCGTGATAGGATCCTGTTTGAGTTTTGGAGATCTGGCTGTCAAGTCGACGTAGAGGAATATGACGAAGAGGTTCAGGATGGTTTCCATTGGTTAGTTGGAGATTACCTTACCAGGTTAGAGAGGTCGAGTGAGGTTTCGGAATCAAACTGAGTTTCTTCGTCGTATTCCAGAAGAGGAGCAGTTTTTCCCTTTTAAGGAACATAGGACGGTAAAGTCGAGCATGAGAGCCTTGAGCCTGAAGAGCAGAGAGTGAATCCGGTGAAAGCTAGGACCTAGGATGTTGTCACGGAAGATAGCTTTCTGGGCGAAGGTCGGAATAACTCTGAGGCTCTCGATAGTGTGATTATGGGATACTGGGAATCTCTTCGCGAATTTCCTTCTAAGAAGGATTCCGGCATGAGACCGGGATTCGGAATCGAGATGACTTTCGACCCAGTTTTTGTCCCGAGCTGATTGTGTTAGGGCATGATACAGAGAGACACTAGTCCACTCAACAGACCATACTGTTTGTTTTCCTCTTTGCACATCGTTCGCTCCTTTCTTGGAGAAGGGAGCGAAGGGGGAGTGCGTGGATTGATGTCTCTGACGCACAGGAGCCATGCCCGGGCACGACAAGGCTGTTTTTTCTCGAAGAAAAGTGGTAGACGTCCGAGTTCCAGGTTCAGTGTGTTCTACGGGGCTCTTCTATTTCCGGATTCTTTGATCTAATTCACGTACTAGACCCTAAACCCAGGTTTGGGGATTGGGGTTTAGGCTGTAGGGTTAGCCGAGACTCGGCCGGGACCCGGCCGAGACTTGGGTTTAGGCTTTAGGGTTTAGGGTTTGGGAGCCGGAAATTTCGTCCTCTTTCGTAGCCGCCTCACAGTGACCGTGACTTGGCCGAGACTATCCACTGTGTGAGCCGAGACATCAAAACAGATCGTTTTGATGCCAAAAAAAGACCAATTTGATATGCGACTCCCGCTCTGCCTGCACCATGCAAGTCGTCGGCGCTCATAAGAACGCCGACGTCTGGCATGGTTCGGCTTTGCTGAGTTTCCAGTCAAAAACTTGCAAGGTTCATGTATCTGTAAGTGTAGCAGCGTGTAGTCCAGGGCGTGCGCTGTTGATTGTTTTTTGCACCCTCACTCTCATCGTTTTCACCTTCACTCTGACCCACCCTCAACCTCAACTTCATCCAAAGGCTCAACTCAACCCCCGTCCGGCAACTTTTTCAGTGAACGAGATCTCTCGCTCGGTGTACAGTCAACATGCCGAGTCAGCGTGAGAAGAAAACAGAGCTGTTCGTCCGTAAGCTAGACTCTGGGAAGGACTCTGGTAATGTAGAAGATGCCCATATGCAGCCACTCTGAATCTCTCTTTCTTTCTTGCCTTATCTCGCCGCTTCAGGCCACCACGGGTTATGGGGTCCGCTGTGGGGGCTTCCAGCACGTCGAGTCAGCCATGCACCGCGCTCACTGCGCAAAGAATGTCCTCCAGAGCTAGACTGACAGGAGTGATGCGTGTCTCAACTTCAAAGCTGAAGATACCATTCGGAATCTTGAGTCGGTGTTGCCATCTCGCCTGAAGCCACGGCACTCGCATCAATGTGTGGCCAGATGCGGCCAGTCTCACCATTCTCACCTGCTGCCTATAGGTCTAAAGAGTTGCACAACCCCTGCCCACGAGGTCGATGCAGCGCCCCAGTCTTCGTGAGTCGGGACTCCCGAGCACGGTCGACACCGCACGCTTGAATTTGCTAGTCATAGTGGCGGGAATTAATGCATTCTTTGTGCAGCTGGTGCTCGGCCGAAGCCGCTTCTCTCATTGCAAGCTTCGGTGCCTTTGTGTTTGCCATGGTGCGTGGCTCACGTCTGTTGGCGGCTGTCAGCTTGCGCCTTTGACGGGGTTGTTGCCTAACTGCCCTTGCATGAGAAGATTGCGATTCATGTCTTCATGCACGTCTCCGAGGCCTTGTTCTCTGTTTGCGCTTCAGCCTCAACGTAACTGCAGGACAGACGCTCGGGCGTGCCTCAACCTAGAGCCCAGGGTGTTTTAAATTGCCAGTTCCTGCCAGGCTGCAAAACATCCACGTGTGATTGTTGTGGCTGCGCGAAAGACCGTTGCTTGGCAGAGTGGCGTAACGGAGCAACGAAAGCTGGGACCGAAGGATTGCTGAACTTTGTGGCGCCTGCCTCTCGGAGTCAAGCCGTGGCCTTGGTCCCGGCAAGTCTGCTCCGGTTGTGAGCATCGAGACGAGGTCGTCAGCATCGCAGCTGTCTCCGCAGCGCTCTGGCCCTGGACGAAGGGAGAAGGAGCCGTGTCGAGCCGAGAAAGTCTCAGAAGACTCAGGCTTTCCGGAGCCGCTCCTTCTTTCGCCGAGCCACAGAGCCTTGAGGAGTAGCGGGGCCTGATACAGACTTTTGACAGCTTGTGTTGTCTTTGATTGCAGGAGACCCTGTCAGACGCATCCCTGGCTCCTTTGCTCTGTGTCCCAAGCGATGTACGGATGGAATAGTCTGTTGCAACGCACTGCACGCAGACAACTACTCGAGTGTCTGTTGTCACCACGTGATTTTCACCAACCGCTTTGAACCTTTCCACGTTTGCTCATGTTCTCTCGCGCCAGAACACCCCGATCTTTCTTGGCCTTTCCATTGCTGTTACCGTCGGCCTCCTTCTAGTGCTTGCACCTCAGCTTGTGGACTGGCGTGTGACACTTGGGTGGGGTGAGCAATGCCACCATGAATCAGACGCTTCCATTTCCAGAGCTTTTTGGCTCCAGAACCTCTTCATATTCGCTGGGTGCTACAAGCCTGGCTTGGCGCGAGTATGTCATGGGAAGTGTCGCAGCAGAATCTTCCTATGCCACTGGCGGAGACGGGCTGGGTGCCCGCAGAGGTGTATTCCCGGCTCGCCCAGGACTTCGTAACAGGCTGGGCATTGATTTCGGCTTCTGAATCGAGTTGGCCGCCCGTCTTGGCTGTCTATGAGCTCGATGGGCATGTCTTCCGCAAGTTTCTCCACCGCTCATCACCTTGGATTCGCAACGTTGCGGCGCCTGAACAAAGGGTGCACCAGTTCTACCCAGTGAGCGGTCAAAGAAAGCCACGTGATGTCCTAGAGACCGCCAGATACTTGAAACACCACCTGCAGTTGGTGGCAGACCTCGTGGCAATGGCAGAGAAGACATCCATGTGCAGGTGTGAGATGAACGGAAAGAAAGCCACAAGAGCGATGTCTCAGCTGTGTAGCGAGGTGCAAGCTTGGATTCACAAGGATGCCGCAGACATGCGGAGACTTGCGGATCCGGCCATGCCCGCGACCTCTGTGGAAGAGGTTTGGCTCAAAGTTCTGGAGGTCTGGGGCCACTTTGCACGCGAACACCTTCCGTACATGTTGAGGTCCGGCGGGTCGCTGTCGCAAAGAGCCATGAAGAGCTGAGAGTCACTAAGAGCACTGTGGGAGCTGTGTGCTGTGTGCTCCCTGCAGGATGGGATTCGACCCGTCGGAGCTGGGGGACTTTTTGAAACAGAGTCAGCGACTCGGCTTTGGGGGACCTGAACTTGTGTGGCTCCAGCGGGACCTCGTGAAAGCCAGAGTGGCTCAGAGCAGGCGCTCAGACTGAATCCGGAGAAGCTGCATCCCCGAATCCCCCAATTCAATTCTCTCGTGTGCATGTGGCCGCATGCTGCGCCCTTAGATAAGAGACTTTTGCATGGATCTTCTCCGTGCAATTTCCCGGCTTGCGAGTCGTGCTGATGTGCGGTGCTTAATGACGAAGCCAAAGGGTCTTCTACACCGACGAGATTAGGCCTGCCATTGCCATGGTCCTCGAGGCATAGGCAAAGGAGGTAGAGTCACACAAACGCTGAAAGCACCGAGACTATCTGTACGTCCGGGCTGGAGGTTTTGTTCGAAAGGACTTCCCGAGCGAGAGCTGCAGGGAATGCATAGAGGCAAAGGCATGGCAAAGCCAAGCCGTAGCCGAACTCGAATTGCCACAAGTTGCAAGACTCAACATCCATCTCACAGCATTCGAACGCAAAAGCTGCTTTCGAGATCACTGAGACGACTGCCCTGCAAACATCCAGGCCCGGCATGTTTGCAGCGATGTCGTGCGGGGCTCATTTCTTTTACGATGTGTCCCGGGCGTTGCAGGTTCTTGTGTACACCCAGGACAAACAAAGGGAAGTTCCAGATTGAGACGCCGGAGGACTTCGACAGAAACGTTTGAGCGGAGCTCCAGTAACGTATCAAGGAACACCATGCCGGGACTGGACAGTTGCGTCCTTCAATCCTCAAGCATATCCGCTTATGGAATATGTCCGTACGTTCCGCATTGCCAAAGATGCTACCGTTTTGATTAGACTATATACGTGCAAGCGATTGCACAGAGGGTGCTCTGTGCATTAAGCTGATCTGACGATTTGGTTCAATTTTCTTTCGCAGCAGTGCGACAAAAACGATGCGTGGAAAAGCAAAAGACGAAGGGCATGCCATTGCCGGACCTGTACTGTACAGTGGCCAGCATCGATTTGGCTTGACAGCTTAGGCAGGTAAACTCCTTGGGGCATGTGTGTGTGTGTGTGTGTGTACGTGCTGCCAGGGCCGACCGTCGCCTGCAGGCAAGGGCTGTACTGGTATCTATGGCAACACTACGTGACTCGTTTAGTATGGTGGCATCACATGTCGCACTTGTAATGCGGATGCAAGCTTCCCAGCATCTCTTGGAGTCCCCCTTGTTTTTCCTTTGACAAGCTTTCGACGCCTCGGCCACTTGGCACTTCCAGCTCCTTCAAAGATCCTGCGTGCTGGCACATGTTTCCACATATTGCTTGGGACTGCATCATCCGCACCAAGCGGACATCTTGGCTACGTGCTCTTAGCAAGACCCACTAACGAATCAGCATTAACTTTCATGGGGGCAAGACACTTTCTTCAAACGCCAGCACTTCGCTCCTGGCGCCATGCAGCCCAGCAACGGCCACGGCCACGGCCCTGGCCAGCCCTCCTCAGGAGGCCCGATGCGTCCGGGCCCGGCTCCGCCGGGCAGCGCCGGCGTCGGCGTTTGGCAGGTGCCGGCTCTGGTGTTCTGTGGCCCCGTGGGGCCTCAGATGGCACCCGTGAGCCCAGAAGGCTTCGTGGTTTGTGAGAATTGGGGACCTCAGGGGCGACTTGGCTGCACGCGGAGTTCCGGGTCGCTTTTCACGCTTCAGTGAAGCTCTGGCTCTGTTCTTTGAATGCCAGGTTCACTCAATTCACACCGGCGCCTTTTCCGCAGCCCCAATCCTTTGATCACGGCATGGCGCAGTCCAGTGCAGCCACAGGCCTGGGCCTTGAGCTTCAGAGTGTGCCTTATCGAGTTTGATGGATGTCGCAACTCAACCAGCGCAGCACGTCTGTTTCTTGCCAAGCAGGTGTCATGCCAATGGCATGCATGCAGCGGCCCAGCTTTGACGGGTACCAGGAGCAACACTTTGACGTCCAGTCGTCTTCAGGATGGCCTGCTGCAAAAGAGCCTTGGAAAAGCAAGCAGCGACTGTGGCTATAGTCTACTGGAGTGAATCGTGTCATGGAGTCTTCAGGATTGGCAGGGTCAGCCTATGCCGACACCCAACTTTCAGCCGATGGGCTTCGTGGGAGTGGGACCATGTCCCGGCCCAATGCCGATGCCTATGGCCACTTAGCCACGACTTAGCGGAAAGCTACATGTACTCGCCTCCAGTCCGGTTTCGGCAAGTGTCAGGAGATGGTTCAAGTACCCGTGCCGCAGATGCCTCAAGAACCACCGAGTCAAAGCATGCCACCGCCACCGGATATGGGGTTGAGGCGCCGCTTTTGACAGTCGCGGTGGTGGCACAGCGAAGTCTTCGGATTTTCATCTGGATATCGGTGCAGGCCGTTTCGGCCCGCCAACCAGCAGCTTCCGTGGCGAAGAAACTTCCGAAGCATGCAAGCACGTTTAAAATCGGGCTGATCGTCCACCAGCCATGATTAGCCATGCTTCGTTGGGGCTTTCAGCGATGTGTGAGCTCTCTGAGGATCAAGCGCTTCGAGCTCCCAACCTACTGCGTCTACCGGGCCAAGTGGCCCACAAAATTCTTGGAATGGAGGACTACAGCTTTCACGGTACTGTGTGTTTGTGTCTTGGGGCTTGGCCCCCGTCATCAGGATCTCCAGATGAAGAGGGCCTGTCATTTGGACCGGGCCGCGGGGAAGAGCCACTTGTCCAGCGTGTCCTAAAGCCTGGGTTCACGCGTTGTTGTCCCACATCGGCTTAATTCTGACCTAGGCCGTGCTACAGCGACGAGGGCCCTTGTGACTGCCGATACTGTGAGCCTGGCGAACACAGATCCAGGCAGTCGAGGCAGGGATCGGATGTGCCTTGCGCCTTTCTGCCAATCGCCAGCCCCCCTGAGGCACTGGCGCTCCGGCCTCCGGTCAAGCGACTTGTGGGAGGCACCGCTGCCCTGTGGGCTCCTTCCATCGGATGTCTCGGAGCTCCTGTTCCGCGACATCGTGCCAGAGGACTCGGACATGTCGGGAAAATCCCGCACCTGTGCAAGAAATGCAACTCCTAGATTGCAGAATCCAATCCCTGGTTGAAGTAAGACTAACCGGGAAGCCCTCAGCCTTCACATCTCAGATCCGAGTGCATGGAGCCTTCTTTCGAGCTCCAACCCTGTCGCTGTGTCCCACACGTTGCATACAGCCAGGGGTCCTGAAGGCAAGCTGTCGACTGTAGACACTGTATATGCGAATCCGAGCGCTGGACTTGAACATGTGAGGTGGAGTTGAGGGCAAGTCCCCAGCTCCGCACAAACACACTTGTTTTGTGCTGCTGTGTTTGTCACTTCATCGTTCCCAGGCTCCTCGATGAGGCTTGAGTCCAGGCTTTTTCGCACCGTGCAAGCTGAGAGGGCGGTGCGAGGGGAACATGAACAGTACTGATGTCCATATGCTCGTGAACATGGAAATGCAAGTGATTTGCATGACATGGAACCGAAGCTGCTAAGCTTGAAAGTCTTGTGCTTGTGACCTCTTCGAGGACTACGAGATGCTGCTGCAGTTAGATGATGCCGTGGAGAAGAGGGTGGCAAGCACAGAAGGCTTGGTTGTTTCAGCAAGAGGGCTAGGCAGTGGGCAGAGGGGACCAAAGATTTTGCTCGAAGCGCGCACCTGTACTGTAGTGACGACATCGGCCTAGCACAGCTGGGCTACACTGGAAGTCTGCGTTTCAGCACTTGTTGGAAGATGTTGGAAGTCTTCGCTAACACGTAGCTGCTTTGCCGATCGGAAGTACACCACGCACAATTCGATTCTGCAAAGAAGGGTCAGTTCGGAGGTCGAGGCGGGCGTAAAGGGCTTAACCCGTGCAGGTGTGGATGCCTTGCCCAGTGCATCAGAGGATGACTTCGCTGGTCAGAACTGATGCTTGCCTTAAGACCTGACAAGCTGCAGTCGACTTTGTTTCGTACCTTGACTTCACGGGGCAGTCTGTGATTCGTGAGGCACGGTATGCTTGGCAGCGCTGGAACGTCTTGACCCAAGCATTGTGTTACGAAACCACGGGTATCATGACACGACGAGACGATGCTGGCATGCTGGCCCCATCTTGCTACCATCTCCAAGGTGATGAGGACATTGCCAAGCTCCCATGCACTCACGTTTTCCACCGAAGGTGCGTTGCTAAATGGCTTACCGAGCAGAAGCGGGCTTGCCCACTCTGCAACGAAGAGATTTGATTGCAACCGCTTGGCAACCGTCGAGGCTGAAAATGCCAGGTCTTGCAAAGCATTGCAAGAAAATTGCCGACATAACTAGTCGAGAACTTCTCGTCATGGCTTCGTTATGATGCCTGAATCGGCAGCCTGCGTGCAGATCTTTATGAGTTTGCGAAACTAGCTGTTAACCATGGAACTTGTTACATTGGGTCTTGCAATCGACGGGCTTTGTCTCACGCCACATGGTTGGCAGATCTTGGAGTGTGCTTGGACAATGATTCAAACTCCAGGTTACGGAAAGACGTAGCCTTTTCTGAAAGCCTTTCCTAGGCACAGGCCGGGCCGCAACCTGCCAGATCCACGCAGCTTGGAAAGACATCCGGACCCAGTTTGTGACCGGATCTGCTGGTGTGGATGGTGTTCTTCATGTGAACCGCTTGCATTGCAAGTGGCTTGTGCAAGTTGTGGCATATGCTGTGTGCTGAGCACAGCCATGCTTGCACCTGCATTGTAAACAGATTCATGGCCGTTTCTGATTGGATCTTTCCAGTCAGTCAGTTGTTGTACATACGAAATCGATGGGAATCAGGGTGCCGTCCCAGACATAGCAACGTTCTGGGACTTGTCTGCATGCTTCGATGTGCTCTGCTCTGCGCAGTAGTTTGCCCAATACCACCACTCCACATGCTACACTTGTCTTAACCAAAGGCCAAGTTACCATCGAGTTGTGTGCAGCAAGAAGCACATCGGGGTGTTGCCATGACATGCACGGAGCACTCTATTTGCAGTTGCGTCCGGCTCTAAAAGACCTGAGCAGGCAGTGCAACTCAAGGCCACAGTGAAGACCTTGAAAACGCTCCAGGCCACATCTACAGTTGATGGCTTGATTTTGGTCCCGCGGAGCCACTGCAGCCCCCGCAGCGTGCTCTGCTGTCAGTCGAATCAAGCCCCAGAGTGCAGGATTTAGAGTTCAGTGTGCTATAGTGTACTTGAAGCAGTTGGCCGGGAAGACCTGCTGCTGTGCTTCGACTGGCCAGTGTGTTGCACGGTTCCGAAGTCAGGGTGAAAGAGTGTTTCAAAGCAAGCATGGGGCACTGACGGGTTCTGTGCCTGCACACAATTTCCTGCGTTCCTGTCCCGAAGCTTGCAGGGGCCGAGCAAGAAGGCAGCTCGCTCAAGTCTGGGCTTTGGACGAGGTGGAGCCTTTTAGCCGCCAAAAAGACCTCTCAGAGTCCTCGTTGAGGATTCGTCTTGCATGCATTCTGCCGGGATGGAACGATTCGGCGTGCCTTTGTGGATCCGGCCGTGTCGACCGATGAATGAAGCCTGATAAACGGTCTGCACCTTGCCGGCTCGCGAGAGACATGCCCCGATGCCCGACTCTCGATGATGGGGGCCTTTAAAATCGACTCCTGTTGCAAAGCGTTGTTGGACTGAAGACATGTAGGACAGACATGATGTGCAGTTTCTGCGTGTCCAGAAGACACTTTTCCTCACAGACTGCAAATGCAGATTCCCGGGAGTTCCACTTTGCCAGAGCAAGTCACTGGTGGCATATTTGCAGGCTGTGCAAACGGTTTTGGATAGTAGGTCCCATGACCTATTAGATCTGCGCTCATGCGATGCGACTCGCAGAAATGGGATGCGTTTTGCAGCCAGAGGGCAAGCCTAAAGTCTGTCTGCAAGTGCCAAGTTTGCACTGATCCAGGATGATGCTGTTGGCGGTTAGTGGGTGCCTTAGGTTCTGGCAACTCGTCTGTGTCTTTGGCGGCACAAGATCCGGGGCCGGAGTGGACATTCCGTCGCGTCTCAGGTCTTGGCATCTCCGAGCATGGAGAGGAATGAGAGAGAGAGGCCTGTCCAGCAGTTGCCATCCAGCCTCGTTCTGACATGCTCTTCAGACTTGCACGCATCTTTTTGGCAACCGCCAAGTTTCACAACTGCCTGTTCCAAGAACATGGTGCAGTCAATGAACTGTCTACGGCTTGACTCGTGGCCGCTCTTTGTCACATGGGCTCATTTTCCATTGTCGCATGCAAAGACACGGTTGCGAGCCGAAGTGATGAGAGGCTCATGACTTGACCGAGCCTCGCTAGACTGAAGCCTGCAAGAGTGGGCCCTCGCCGCATTGCCTGGGCAGATTGCAGGGTGGAGCCTTCGGGGAGCAATCACAGTTTGTAGGAAGCTCATCCCTATATCTATGTCCGCGCTTCGAGCTGCATCACTTCAGGACTTGCAAGCAGCTCGCGACTTGTAACCAAAAAGACTTCTCCAAATTAGGTCCAGGCCTTTTATGGCAGCCCTCCGCTGATGCCATGGTTGGCGCCCCGCCGCCCAAGGCACCCACTGCCACAACCCGGGCTGCTGGGCTTTAGGACTCATCCCCGGCGCATTCGCTTCGGCTGCCAGGAGCATACCACCACCAAAATTCCAGCCTGGGAGGATGCACAGGCAGTGGCTGTTGCAGCTGTTGCAGCTGTTGGCACTGGTCGACAGAAAGGGTCGGAAATCTCTGACAGGAGTTGGTTGCACTCGACCGCCTGCGGTTTCAGCATCTGCACCGAGTGCTCTATGCCCATAGGCCGCGACCGGGACAGCCGAGCAGTTGTCTAATTAAGCCGAGCTCTGCTGGTGCGAGGCAGCGAGTTGAAAATGCAAACTCCTATTATGACGCGCTGGCCTCGGCACTTGTAGTGTGGGCCGAGCGATGCCTTCAAATCTCGCCGCTGTTGAACTGAACTCACCTCTTGTTCCATTTGTCTTGCTTGTCTCCCATGCTGTCTCCCACGCTCATGCGAACTCTAGCTTAAATCCAAGATGTCAACACAAATCTTGAGGCTTGAGCTTTTGTCAAACTTGTGTCCTGTTTTCAGCATTATATGGAGCCCGCTACGCTGCCATACCGCTCCGATCGGACTGGTTTCAGAGGTGGAGAAGAAGGTCTTGCTAGCTGCTAGCTTTGGTAGACTCCAATCGTAAGAGGCACACTCCGACCCAAGTTCGCACCAACTCGCAGCTGGGACCAAGAAGAACTACTAATCATTTTTGATCAACACAGACGGAAGCATGCATGACAAGGCAGATTACCTAGCATTGCATGCAAGACTCACCGGATGCGTTCCAACTGGCGAGCTGCGTGGCGGCCGTGTTGCTAGGTCTTCGAGACGGAAAGGCAGACCGGCGTGTTGCTCGCCCGTCTTTGGCTCGGTCTCTTTTGCTCAGGAACAGTAGAGTTTGGCAGAGCAGGGGCGGATGCCTAGAGACCTCAGGCTCAGAGGCCATGCGGATCTCCAGGGCAAGGCGGAAGGAAGAGGAGCCGGCGTTGGAGACACATTTGCTTCACATCGCTTGGCTGATCTTCGCTGCATCTAGGAAACCGACAGTCTCAATCGCGACAATCAGCGATTGGTCGAACGGTTGGGTGCCGTCGGAACCCTGTTTCCGCAGCCAGCAGAATCTGCAAAGACACGGAGCCCTAGACGATAGCTTCACAAAGCATGACGTGATGCCCAAGGTGATGCGAGAGTCCGAGGGCCGACGGCGACAAATACTGGCGCCCAAGCCGCCGAGCTCTGCCCCAGCAGGCAAAGGGATTTTAGTGATTCTTGGACAGACTACGGGGGCTGCCTCTCCAGCTCTGTCCAGGTTCCTTGAACTTGACGTTGCGGCGCAAGGCTGCCCGACAAATCGACAAGGACGGCAGAGAGGTGAAGAAGCAGCAACGCTCAAGGCAGACGACGATGCACTTGCAGTAGAGTTGCGTCTTCCATGCTTAGGAGCGAGGGCGTTCATGTAGGCCAATGCCTTGTTAAGCTATCCTTGTTCCAAGTCCTGCCCTCGTCTCAGCCAGTCGGTGGCCCCACAACAGTGGTATAAGTTTGCAACCGCTTCTCCCGCATGGGTCTTTGTTTCCAGGACAACAAAGTCCTGCTTGACAGACTGGTTCGTGCCGGGCTCAGAAGAGACTTTCACCAAGGCCAGATGTATTTGCAAGGTGCCATGGAATTAGCCATCCGCTGCGTGTGAGAGAGAGAGAGAGAGCGCAATACGCACTTTCGTCGCTTGGAATCCATGGATTGTGTAAACACCCTTGCCTATTTCTTGAGCATGCAGAGCTGTTACCAATGTCGTTTTGCTATGAGAGGCATTGGGCCAACAGTCAGCGGGCGTGCCGAACTTGCATCTCGATATGAGGCGTGAGACGGCGTGAGAGAACGAATGAAGCGAGTCATCAAAATGTCACAGTCGGATCCTGCGCCAGGTCTACACAACACTTGTGAACAGGCCAGTCCGTGTTACCGGTGTACGTTGCCAATATGCATGATACCAGTCTCTACCGACGGGTTGCTCGAGAGGCAGGCTAATGTATATGAGTAGGAGGACGCATAAACTTGTGTGGTGGTTCCCAACGAGCAGTTACCTAGTAAAAAAGGCGCGCAAGGCAACCGATCTTGACACAGGTATATCGTGTAGTTGCGTTGACAGAGAATTCCAGGCGAGCTGCACCTTTGGAAAGACAGGCTGATTTTCGGGGTGAGGAGACCAGGAACTGCCCAGTTCGGCCTCGATGTGACAGCTTTGGGCACCAGTGTTTTGAGCCCGGAAGGTGCGGCGAAGCTAGGAGTCAGCTTGTGAGGGAAGCAAGCATCAGTTGGGGGTCGGTCTGCTTGTGCATTGTCCTGGGGCGCGATGCACATGGAACTCATCTGAATAGCGATTGACATGTTCATCGGTATTCAGACTGGTTTCAGAAGTTGTGTTGTTCCATGGCCTGTCTAGTGGTCACCCGGCTATCGATGTCGAGGTTGAGGTGTTCGCCAGAGTTTGAACACTGTGCATCGTCCAGTCGGCATGCGACCTTTTCTAGTGACCCATGCGGCTTTGTCTGGGAAATGTTTGGCTACCCTGGAGCTTCAATCCTCGCCCCCCAGCAATACGGAGAACCTAGCCCCCAGCACCCCCAGCGCCCCCCCAGGCCCCAGGTAGCGATTTTCAAGAAAATCATTCCGACGTCAGCTGGC